GGCCCGGGAGAAGAGCACAGGCCCGCGGTTCCCGCCTTCAGCGCTGCAGGGCGAGGGCCCTTCCCGGTGACAAAGCAGCTCCTGCTCGCTCGGGCTGCTCTGGGCGCTGTTGGGCGAGTACCAGGACGATCCCGGCTAGTAGGAGGTAGGAGGACGCAGCTACTGACCTTTGAGGCTAGTAGGGGTAGTGAAGAAATCTTCTGCTTCATCTCGTCCTCCCCAGCTTCTCGGCTCCTTGTTGCAATGCTGAGACCCGGCCCGGGAGGTGGACGTAGCTCATTTGCTGAGTGTGAGTTGTCCTGTGGAGCTGACTCAGCCTGAAAATAGGAGGCTGGCTGGCAAGCTAGCATGACTATAGAAAACATGCAGTCACCTGCATCTCAGCGCTGTGTTGCCAGTGGTTATCTTGAGCTAAAACTGCCTTTAGAAACAGTGAGTAGGTCATGCAAAGGTGTCTTTATTTTAGGGAAGTCATGTCTTTAGACTGTTAACTTTGCAGTACAAATAAAGCTCACATTCTGCTTTACTTAAATGTGCTGGTTATTGATATGGTACTTAGCGTGGCAGTATTGTCAGATATCCCTGAGTTATTAGGGTCCTTTTTGCGTTCTTGTGAAAGTCTGTGCCCACTGGTGCCTTTGGCTCAGAAGAAGCAGTGACACCTACCGAATCATCGATGCTATTTCCTGCAACTCTTCTGTTTTTCTTTGAGGTTTTCCATGCAAGTATTAACTAGACCTTCATTTATTTAAATTAGAAAGCTACAAATCATAGAAAAGGTGTAATCAAAGTGTAAGGTAGAGGCTCTATAAAGCCAGAGTCTCCTGCTTGTGAAGAGTGTAGACATTGCTGTGCTAAAATACTCTAGAAAGTGAAGTTCTCTGAAAGAGACTCAGAGCTTACTTAATTTTCCATAGAATTTCTCTGAAATTCTCATTGAAATGCCTCTGAATGAGGCAAGTCAGTTTGTCACATTTTTTTGGTATGGTTGGTAACTTCAGACCTCACTTAAAAGTTACACATGTGAGAGTGCCACAGCTGTCTAGGTACGGAGCTTGAAATCTTTCCTTATGGATGAGCTGAAAGATACTGTGTGGTTATCACAGGAGGATACAAAAGATGAAGTAAAGGCTTCCAACTGTAAATTGTAGTGCCAGCAGCTTGGCTGGAATATCAGACTCTTGCTTCACCTAGTTGCTGTGAAGGGACAAGATGCTGATATTTCTTTCAAGTTTTTCCCTGGGTCTGTTTTAGATTCAAGGTTTTTTATATTGGCATTTGGTTTATAAGTAACCCAGACATAAGTTTTATTGAGGTCTTGTCTCCAGCTACTAGAGGGGTCAGGCTACTACTCTCTTGTCTTCTGGCAGCTGCAGTATTGTACACTATAGGCTACTCTCTCTGCAAGCTTAATCTAGGCATTTCTCCCAAAGGTAAAATGATTGTGTTTGCTTTTTGATGTTGTCCACTGCTTTCTCAGCAATCTCAGTCTGAAAGGAGTGTTTTTCACTTCTCTTCTCCATAGATTTGTGAGCAGTGTCAGTACAGTTTTTGTAAAAATCTTTGCAGGTTTTGGTGTGTTTGGTTTTTTTTTTAAAGAGAGATTCATATGCTAACCCAAGGATTGCATTTGTCCTGAAAAGCATGCTACAGTTTTGGTACTTCAGGAATTATAAACAGGCTTACTTAAGATGTGAATTTTGTAATCTATTTTATTTTCACATTTAAAACAATCTTGTTAATGCCAGTGTGGCTGCCAGGTTTTCAAATAAGCAATTGCCTTTACAAAAAAATTAGTTATACAACCTAGCAAGAATGAATTTTTACTGAAAGCAGCCATGCAAATTTAGGTAATTAATAGAACACACTGCTTAAAATGTCTTTGTTGCCCACAGATATCTTAAACTGTCAGTATGGTCTCTCTTGGAGCTGCTGTTAACAGCTTAGATCTGCAGTTTTATCTTGATTCCTGAGAAGTAAGATTGCCCATGTGGGTCAACCATTTGCTTGGAGTTCCAGACAATGTCATAGCTAGCAATAAAAAATGCACTGTCCTTGTAGTGTGACTAGTGTTGGCTGTTTCTCTTAAACTGTAAAAATTAGTTGTTGCTAATAAAGCATCAACAGTAGGTGTGCTGTTTCTTGACCCAGCCTTGAAAGTAGGTACATCTCAAATACAGAACAGGTTGAACATCTGTTTAAATGCATTTGGGATCAGCAAATGGTTTGTTCTGCTGGCATAGGTGGGTCAGCAATGCCTGTCATATTTGCAAGATGAAAAAAAACCCCACACAACCCTAAAATCACAGCAAAATAAAACCCTTTCAGTTGTATGTTTCTGTAGCTAGTATTATGACTTGATGAGTTGACTTGTTGCTTATTTGCTTGTAGTCATTTCAGAATACTGCCAGAACAAAAATCTAGATTTTTAGGTGAATATTTTGTGTCATCGGGGCCAAATTTAGGGCTACATAAAGGATATTTGATGTTGCTCTGTTAATGTAACTCAGGTTTGCAACCATCCTAAGTCTAAGGAAGCTTTTTTCTTATGTTAGAAGACTTCAGCAACATAGGATTTCTTAATGCTGATTCTGTGTTGTGCAGCTAGCACAGTGAGTATGAAGGTTGGAATAGAAAATAACCTTCAAGTACAAAGACACTCTGGGAGGTCAGTTGATTGTGAGTGCCACCCATCTGTCTTTTTTTCTGTGGAACCTATTTGATTGTGCTGAGCACAGTTTGGCTCCATATTAGGACAAGGACCAAATAATTACTTTCTTGACTGGGTATGATACTGATTTTGCTCTGTGCAAAGACTTCATGAATACATGGTGGTTAAAGATGAATACCAGTAAGTCTGCTGACTTTAGCTGACCCTGATGGTGCTGACACTTTAGCTCAGTAAAACTGTTTGTCTTTTGTCATCCCCCCGGCCTCCCCCATCCCCTCATTGCTTTATTTTCTGAGTTCATGGCAATACAATCTCTGCAATTCCTTGCTCAGCAGAGTTGATTTGACAATGTGTTTTGGTAAAGCCAGTATACAAAGAGAAAGTGCACCCATGTTATGAACAACTCATGTCTTAATGTGTTAGTGAGGGACTTCAGTTGTTTGAGTGATGAGAAACCACTGACATGGAAAAATAGTTTTACTTTCATCATTTAGACTGTTTACACCAGAAGGGACTTTTTTAGAAGAGTTAAAGCTTGATGAGACTTCAACGTGTGCTTCCTGTAATGCCCAATGTTGAAATTTGCAGAGTTCAAGAGTTTATTGTAGCTGGTTCACAGTTACTGTCCACTGGTGTCAACGCACACTGCAAGATACCAAGTTGTGCATTCTGTGAACATGACTACTCTGAAACAGAGTAACATGCCATGCTGTATATTTTTAACTGGTAGGCCAACAAAGAGTGGATATAGCAAAGCTGCACTAGTAATTTCAGAAGCTTGCAGACAATTATTGTCAATCCTGTGACTATCTGAAAATTTCAGAGTAATGTCCATCTGGAAAAGTTTGTGAAATTGAGTTTAGTTCCACAGAAAACAGATTTAGGTCTTTTGCATTTTTTCTCCGTTTTTATTTAACTTCAACTTTTTTATGGAATCTCTCTTCAGTGCAGAATACAGTTTTCAGTAATAGTGTATTTAACACTTGTTAGTATGCTTTTAAAGTGAACACATAAATATTGTGCTTTCTGTGCTTACACTGAATTACAGATAAAAAACCTGACCTACTGAATTACACATGTAAATGTATACATTGTGTTGTGACTCTGCTTTTGTCAAGTGGAGACTTCATAAAATTGTATTCTGTGATTACAACTTGAGTACAGTTTATGGTTGAAACTTTAAATCTGTAAATCAAGGGGTTCAGATTTGTGCCTGGATCTCACAATCCCAGATCTTGATCTGGGATTTTGATCTTGATCTGCTTATCAAGATCACACAGGTGTAAATGTTAGGGGCATGGTTGGATGATTTGGTAGTGGAGCATCTTTCCTGACTTATGTATGCTTTTAATATTTTATGTAATGTTTTACTTCATAAGAACACTTTAATTTCAGTTCTTTAACTTAATCCAATTCTGTCTCAGTGTTTTTCTGTAGTCCCAGGGTTATTGAAATGGTACAACCAAAAGAGGTTGAACCTATATAATGGAGTCCAGTTTGTTCTCTTCCAGGATTGTGATTTAGCTTGCTGTTGCCATCTGTCCTAGTTTCAGCTGGGAGAGAGTTAGTTTTCTTCCTAATAGCTGGTATAGTGCTGTGTTTTGGATTTAGTGTGAGAATAATGTTAAGACACTGATGTCCTCAGTTGTTGCAAAATTGTTGTAGTGTTTGTAATAAGCTAAGGACTTCACCTGCCGAGGCTCTGCCAGCAGGCAGGTACACAAGCTGGGAGGTGGCACAGCCAGGACAGCTGACCCAGAGTGGCCAAAAAGTTATTCCCTACCATGTAACATGCTCAGTATATGAAACTGGAGTTGGGGGCAGAGGGGAGAATTGCTGCTTGGAGACCGGGCTGTCCATCACGGGGTGGTAAGCAATTGTTGCATTGTGCATCACTTGTTTTTGTATATTCCTTTATCAGTAATATTATAATTATTTCCTCGCTATCTTATTAAACTGTTTTTATCTGAACCTGTGAGTTGTTTTTTTCCTGATTCTCTAACCCATCCTACCTGGGGAGTGAGGGGTGAGTAAGCTCCTGAGTGGGTGCTCAGCTGCCAGCTGGGACTAAACTACAACAGTACCCAAGGCACCTGATTACACGAATTGTTTAGCATTAGGTTTTCTGTTGTCTCAGTGCATTGAAACACATCTGTGTGACTCTTTATGCAATAGACTCTGATAATTCATGTTTCTTAAGCTATTTTTTCTCATTTTGGAAACTTGAATAAAACTGTTTTAGAGCAATGGTAGATGGCTGTTCAGTAGAGTAAAAATCGTTAGAAGAAGGTATATTGACTTTCCTGACAGTTGGCTTAGATGTAACTCAAAAATATCAGTTATTTAACCACGGTACTTATCAAGTGTTTTCTGATAAATGACTGGCAGATATAGTAAAATAAAATACCTGTTTAAGTAACACTGTGAAGTGTCTTGTGCGCAGACACTCTTCTGCAGAGTCACAGTTCATTTTGATATTTCAATTTTTTAATCCTTTTAAAACTTTATCCATGTCCAATAGGGCCTTCCTTCCTCCTGTGATTTCCTGTGCGTTTGTTTTGCTAGCATCCCTCACCCTCAGTCATGGGTGTCACAACTTTGAAAGATCGTCCTGTGTACTGCTTAAAATTGCCAACATCAGAGAAAACTCTAATGAATAAACAGCTGTGATAGAGGTGTCATGGTAAGATATTCTACATATTTATTTTAGTCAGTCAGCTTCTCAATCTAGTGACTACAAACCTTGGCTATATAAGGAGCATCACTGCCTGGGAGTAAGGTTAAGTCAAAATCTTAAGAATTGGGGATTACATGGTGACATGAAGAAAAATGTGTTTGTTTAGACTTCTTGTTGATAGGGTTAATTGTTCCCTACCACTGACAGGTGAAAATGAACGTTAGTGTCTGTAGTCCACTCATGATTATGTTCTGTGTCACCTTAAATTTAAAAACTTGCTAAAGTCCAACAATTTAAAGATGCTTACTTAGAAGGTCACATGAGCAGGAGTTACTCTATCAGCAGTTACTCATATCTTGGTGTTTCCTCAGGGAAAGCAGATGCTGGCAAAGCTCCTCCCAGTTAAGTTGAAGGATAAGACATCTTATGATGTCTTGTGAAATAGAAAGTATAGGTTAGATTCTAAAAAAGCAGCTCTACTGCAAGAATCCCATTTTATACATGATATTTTTATGGCCTTTTCCAGTCTTGGTGACTTGCTAGAGAACAGGCTAGTTCTGTTGCAAGTACACCACTTTCCAACAGTATATTGCAGAGTACTTATTTGGAGAAGGGAAGTATTACTGACCATTTCTCCTAAGTCAAAGCGTGGAGTAGTGGAGTGACTTGCTGAAGGATGCCTGGAAGGGATGGAACTGGCTAGAATACAAGTCCTGAGCCCTTTCCACTAGGTTGCACTGCTGCAGTTTTCCTTTATGGGCTGTTAGGCTTTTAAGCTCATCAAGAGTCTGAATTTGTTTCTTGAGATGAGTTTTCTATGAGTTTGGTTTAGTTGCAGAGATAATTTGGTCGTCGAGCTAGCATGCGTCATTGGCAAGGGCACAGGAAGACAGTAACTCATAGAGTCATGAAAGACAGAATAGGCTTATATAAGAGCCTAATTTTGGGTGTGCTTTCTAGCTACACTTTATCTGCTGCAAACTGGGCTGTGGGACAAAAGTGCTTTCCTTCTTGAAACCTGAAGGTCTCGTCCCCCTTACTGTACAGTGTCCAAGAATTGTGCAGTGAAACCCGGTTTTCACTGACTCACTTTAATTCACAGTCATAAGATAACCAGGTATGATTCACCAGAAAGGGACACCACAGTTGGCAGTGGTTGTATTGCCATGAGTGTGTTTGGTTCCTTATTTCTCGGTCAAGATGACCTATAACCATTAATTCTGTTGTACAAAAGAAAGTGGGAGCTCATTAAAGTTAGCCTCTGTTGAAACTGCTGGATGTGGGTGTAAGAAACTAGAGTCTGGCTAATATGCTTAACTGTGTATGTTAATAGGAATGGCAGTTTAAAGTTTAGATGATCATGGGTGTGCTTTGAAACAGTAGTGCTGAAAAAGGTAATGTGATTTGAAAATATTTCTTTGTAGTAGAACTGTTTGAGGGACTGCTGGGAGTGTGAACTGCAGTTCAGCCCTCTAGATAACAAACCTTTGCTTCTGTCTCATCCGCTGCTGTGTTCAAAACAGTTCAGTGTGGGACGAGTCAGCAACTTTGTTTTTTTATTGTCATCTAGATAAAGTTGTAGCTTAGTATTTTCAGAGCAGTTGCAGGTTTTAGGGGCCTGTTTTCTGTTACTTTTCAGTGGGAATTGGATATTAATTCCCTGACGCCTGTTTCAGACTGTTACTGTAATTCAATTTTTAAATATGTCTTAATAAGCCAAGGTTGAGAGGATTTGGGGAATTATTTTTCATTTGTTCTTCTCTTTTTTTTATTCCTTTTGCACAGCACTTTGTCATGTGAATGCGTAGTAATGCTATTACAGTTGCTGTTTTTGATGCTATACAGTGAGTCAGCAAAAGCTGTTGAATCATTATATGGTGGTAACATGTCAAAGGGCGGTTTGCATGTTAAGATTTTTACTTTGCCTGGAAGATTTTACCAGGCCCTTCCTAGGCCAACTTGGCAGATGATCAGATGTTAATAGGTTAATGTTTAAAGTATGGATCTGCTCTGCAAAGTGATAGTGCTGAACAGTCTCTGTTTTAGTCAGCTGTTCTACTTCATGTGTATTCAGACATTTGCTTTAAAGTTTAGTGACAAAATGTTTACTTTAACTAGCTCAGGTACAAGTATGCATTTGTTCAGCACTGGGCATCCACACCGTGGTGTCCACCCATACCTTGTAAAAACCTTCAGACGCAATTAAACTGAGCAGGTGTAATAGAAGTCCTACCTTGCTTCATGGAACTTTTTTTTTGTATTAACATAGAACAAAGAAACTGATTTTTTTTTTTAGCAGAGTATTGGGCTGAGTTCCTTAAAGTTGTGTGAATATGAAGATATTTGGCATGGAAATTTAGAGTGTAAACAAGAAGTGCTGGTGTGCTGCTAAAAGAAGTGAGAGTTGTCAGTGTGAAAAATTGCACTGTTCCTGCCCTTTAAAAAAAAAGTTCACAAACAAGTTAACTTGAGGTAGAATGGTAATGTGGGCAAGGTGCTTCAACAACACTAGCTTTAGATTTGCTGTAACTCATGTCAAATCTACAAGTTTCCATGCTTTGAGCAGGCTGTGACCTTGAATTAATTCACTCCGGTTAAGAATACTTTCTCCTTTCCTCCCTAGGGAAACCAGGCTTCTGTCTAGATATAGTCTTGTGTTGCAGTCTGATTCCCGTTGTACTTTCCACTGATTCATCTAACAATTATGTCTAAAATTGACATAATTTTACATCATTTTTACTGTGTTCAGTTGCTAGAGGAGTACCATGAACTAGTTTCTGTGAATATGCTAGGTGTGAAAATGCTATTGTGAAACATTCTTTATTTTTTACAACTTCAAGTCTTTTTCTATGCTTTTTCTACTTGCTTTGTATGTGCAAACCCACTTCATGTAGGTATGTCATGCATTGAATGAGAAAGGAGAGAAACCTGAGAGGTCACTTTAGCTTGTGTGGAAAGGGATGGTAGTTTTGACACTTGGAAGGCAACAAAAATACATCTGAGAAGAGAGGATGCTTCCAGAAAAAGTGTAGACAGATTTATTGTAATTGTGACACTGCATCCTCAGTCTTTCAGCACTGAATGGCTTCAGTGGTGTGTGTGTGTGTATATTTAGTTTTGTATACTTACTAGCATATAATTATATACATACTTTACAGTGTGTGTATATGCAAGTAGTATATATAGTAGGATGTATTTATTGTCATGGATGCATGCCTGATTGGAGCCACAGTAGCCTTTAAGTGAATTAGATTTTTGTTATTGCTAGTTATATAACTAGTGCTCTAAGTGTGGAACTCTTCTGATTTTTATTGCGTGGCAAAGAAATAACTAGTTCGCATCTTCCCATGGATGAAAAAAGTTGAAAAAACTTTATGCAATCTAGAAATACTTTAAATAAAGTGGAACGTGCAGTGCAGATGGGGTAATAAATGTGAGCAAAACAGCTTGTCCTTAAATGACTAAAAAAATTATAGTTCAGTATTCAGTTACATAAATGTATAATAACTTTTTTTGTTTAGTTCAAGGAAGAAATCTCTAAGCGTTTCAAGTCCCACACTGATCAGCTTGTGTTGATATTTGCTGGAAAAATTTTAAAAGATCAAGATACTTTGACTCAGCATGGAATTCATGATGGACTCACTGTTCACCTGGTTATCAAAACACAAAACAGGTAACCTCACTGAGTGAACTTCTATTTGCCTCTCAGGAGTAAAAATACTCTGAATTCCTAATGTGACAGCTTTCTGTTGGGCAAACCTGGATTTGAGTAAATCACTTTAGCTCCTTAGTCACAGTTGGTACAGAGTAACATTCTGAAGTTACGGTGCTCTTTGGTTTATTTTAATTGTATTACTGCATTTTAATTGGATTAATGTTTCTAAATGCAAGTCTCTTGCTTTTTTGTTTAACTTTTTGGTTTTAGTGCTGAGTGGTGGCTGTGTTTTTGCTCCATAGTTCTTAGCATCAGCTCTTACTGTCCATAAAGATACGTTGCGCAGCTTTTTTCACATGCGAAAACTTCTAGTGAATCCTTAATCACTGTTTTGATAACACAAGGAAAGAAAACTTTTGAGAGGATTGTTGTAGTGCAACTGATTTATCTGGCTGAAAGAAAGACTTGGATTTTAAGATTTTTTTGTTTGTTTTGGTGAAGCAACTTTTAAAATGATGATGAGAAAGTTGCATCTGTTGAGCTATGTCACCTGCCTGTTACTTCCTGGGAAGTGCTCAGAAGGAAAAGGCTCAACTAAAAATCCTTTCATCAAGTAGGGTAATGTATCCCGTAAGTGAATGTAGCTTACTTAGTTAATAACGTGTTTGTTGTTCTAGACTGAAAGTGTTCTTGCTCTTCTACTTAGTCTTTCCTGTTTGCGGTGAGGATCTCCTCTTGTGGGAAAATGTCAGATAATAAAGCAAAGAGCATGGAACTTAAGAGAGAAAAGAAATATGCTTTGCCTTTCCAGGCCTCACCAAATCAAAGGCCTGTTAGTAACATTAGTATTAAATTTAGGCATCTGTTGACATTAGTAGCATTAGTGTTAAACTTAGACACCTGTTGAAATTTATGTCTTCAGTTGCATGCTTGCATCCTGGCAGGACTATCTTCTCCGTCCTTGAGTCCTATCTCTGTCAAAACATTTTTGTTTGCACTGACAGAGGTCTCCCCTGCCCTGCCCTGTGCCTCCCTAGCCTGAAATTTAGGCCTGATAGCCATCCTAATCTCATACACGGTGTTAACTAATATTGCAATTTTAGCGTTGCAATGCTCTGTGCATCTTAAACTAGTATTCTGCTGTTGTCATTTTGCCTGCAGTCTTGAGAGTGACAGAAAGGCTTCGTAAGTAGTGACAGCAGGATGCTTTTGACTTGTACAGTCTTCAGAGTGTTCATAGATTGGACCTACCTGTATGTACTGAAATACCAGTGCCTGTCTCTTGTACCTTCTTTTATTTTGCCTTTAGCCAAAGGAGTATCCATGCACAATGCCACATTTATTGTTTTGGGGGAATTTTTGGTATCCCTGCAGCAGTCCTATCAGCATTGCAATCCGTGTCTTCTCTCCCCAACCATTTTTGAATAATTTTAGAAGTGTGTATTACCATTATCTTAATCCTGTCTCGGGCAAGGAAATACAAACAAAAAACTGCAGACCCTTTGCACTTATCTACCCTGTCTTCAAATGAGGCATTAATATTCTCACCTACTAGCTTTGCTCGAATAAACTGAAAATATGCTCCTAAGACCTGCTAATGAGAATTCCCAGCACAATGAAAATCAAATTTGAGAGAGTGTAACATTGTCCTGAACCGTCTTAATATTCTTGGGCAGCCTTTAGTGCCAGTGCTAAATTATGCTGGCTTCATTTAACTATGGTTTTACCCTGTTCTTGAAGTCTTAAAGGTTATTGAGATTCTGATACTTGTCTTCTAATGAAATAAGACATTAACTGAATTTCGCATTCAGTAAGGCATCCTATTAAAGGTGTGGCATGAAATAAATCTGACGTTAAATCTTGCGAGGCTTCATTTCTTTACACTCCAGGCATGTAATGAGTAATATTTGAGTATAGTGGAATGAGGCAAGAATCCTTAAAACAAGGACAGGGGAAACAATTCATTGGTGGGCATCCCAGGAACAGGATGAGAAGGTGGTAGTGGCTTGCCGTGGTGGCCATCCATTTTCTTAATATTTTAAACTACTGTTCTGAAAAACTGATGACATTACAGATGTCTCAGATTTGTTACAGGAAGCCATCTAGAGAGAATAGTGTGATTTTTGAGAAAGAATCAAAATGTAAATTAAGATTCTCAAGTATGACACTATGCCTGTATTTAAAGGCATTATTTAAATTTGCTTTTTAAACTTGCTTTTTTAGATCACAAGACCACACAGCTCAGCAAGCAAACACGACTGGGAGTACTGCTAGTGCATCAACATCAAGCAGTAGTACCTCAACACCAGCTTCAACAAATAGTAACCCTCTTGGATTGGGTAAGAATATTTGTTAGGTAGCATGGTGGGTGTCTTCTTTTGCATTCAGGTAATTGTTCCTGAAGTTTTATTCTAACATAGACAGCACTTTAAAAACCCCAAACAAACATACACCCAAAAAACTCGATTATAAGTATCTATGGTATTGGTTGTAGAAGGTTTCTGATCAGTAAGTTATGAGGGAAAAGTTGTTTCCTTAATTTTATATGCAGAACTTCAGAGTTGTGCTGTTTCATCTTCAGTAGTAAGGTGCCAGTAATGTTATGTTAGCACTATGTGTAATGAAACTCTTTCCAGTGTCCTTGTGCTCCTTAAAAGTGCATCTGAATTGCTGTGAGAAACGTATTGATGAAGTTGGGCCTGTACCGTGAAGATAAGATCTGAAACAGGAAAATCTAATTTTACTGCTAATCTTAAAATTCAGTATTTCTCAGGTTCCAAGTCTGATAGCATGATCAGTCTTCTCTTTCACAAATACAGAGACTGCAGTCTGACTTAAATACTATTATCATAACCACAGTGGAGTTTTTGGTTCATTCTTTTTCATCTCATTGGCTTTTGTGGGATGGGGGAGAAGTAGAATTGGAAAGATAACCATAGTAAGCAATTGCTTTTTTTAGGTGTAAACAGTTCTTCAAACTGACTAGTACCTTCTGCAAAGTTTTGTTTGGACTCAGCAAAGGAGAGGAACTCAAAGCATAATTAGTTCTTGGTGCATTAGTAAGAAGAGCAGCTCTACTTTTAATTAGAATAGGGAATGAGAGTCATATTGGAAGATCTCTCTTGGTTATAGTCTAACCAAGAGGAGACAGATAATTACTATAAATGCATTGGAAAGTGTTGGGGGTGGAGGGAACCTAAGACGCCACACCTCAAATGTCCATTGTGCCTTAGCTGTGGAAAATGAAAAGAAAAGCTTTTAGAATTGTAACAAGTTATAGTTCAGATGCAGTTTGGATTTTTAGTTCTGTGTCTTGTTGTTTAAAGAAGCAAACTTTTAGTGGATAACTCCTTGATAGCCTTGCAAAGATGGAGTTTTCATTATTTTGAAGTGTAAGATATGTTCAAGTATTTTGTATTTAGAAAGAACCTGGATGTGTTTAGAAGTATACTAGAAGCAGAAAGTTCAATTATATTTTTTTCCTCCTCTTGAAGGTGGCCTTGGAGGTTTGGCAGGTCTCAGTAGCCTGGGCTTAAATACATCAAACTTTTCAGAGTTGCAAAGTCAGATGCAACGGCAACTTATGTCCAACCCAGAAATGATGGTTCAGATAATGGAAAATCCATTTGTTCAGAGCATGCTTTCAAATCCTGACCTGATGAGGCAGTTAATTATGGCTAACCCTCAAATGCAGCAACTGATACAGAGAAATCCAGAAATCAGTCACATGCTGAATAATCCAGATATAATGAGACAGGTATGTAGAACGATCTCTGTAAGTTCATGAACTTTGATTATACTGTAACTGTGAACAACAGAGCAGGAATTGGACATGCTTAGTTGAGTGCTTAAACATTCTTGAAGTATTTAGGCTTGCTAGAAAATCCATAAAAGGTTGCTGTAGGCAACTGATTTTGTATTTCTAGTTGTTAATGTCTGAATTCAGAAAATCTGCAGCATAGTTTTGAAAGACACTGAAGACTCTGTAATCATGTCTTCTGAGGTTACAGTTGGATGTCCCTGTGTGCACTTGGAACCTTCTGTTGTCTAGCCAACAATGACTTTACCAAAAGTAGTAATTCTCCAAAATACTACACATTTTCATTTTATCTAATTGTGGGTACTTCTGAGTACTGTTAAAAATACATGGTATGTAAGGTATGCTGTGGGGCGGAAAGTTTAAAAAACCAAATGCATACTTTTGAAAATGTAGGTATTTATTTTTGAAGTTGATATTATAGGCTGCCTGCTGTAACAATGTTAGAAATGGTAGGAGTATATTGTGTGGAAAAGATGAAGAAAGAAAAGAATAGTTCATTAAAGGTTTTCCTTCTGTTTAGCAAGTGCTTCCATACCCAGCCAGTGCAGTGATGGTTGTGGTACAATGCTGGCTAAATATCTAATTCAGTCAACTCCCACTAAGCTGACATCCTGATTTGACTTCAATCACAATGTGAAACTGGGTTAGACATGGTAACAGAGATACTGCCAGATGCTGATGTTTTTGTTTTAGATGGATTTCTTATTAATACAGATTAAACATTCCACTTCCCTAGACACTAGAACTTGCTAGAAACCCTGCAATGATGCAGGAAATGATGCGAAACCAAGATCGAGCCATGAGTAACCTTGAAAGTATACCCGGTGGATACAATGCATTGCGACGTATGTACACAGATATCCAGGAGCCAATGTTGAATGCAGCACAGGAACAGGTGAGAAAAGATTGCAAATGCCACTGAAAGTAAATGCTTTGTTTAAAATAAAAGCATGTAAGTAATGTGAATTTCCAAATACGTGTTTGACAAAACACTTCTTGAAGCTTGAAGTCACTATGTGGCCTCTTATTCTTGAGAGGAAAGATCTTTAAAAATTCTGTGCTCTTCTAAGCTTGAGGAAATACAGATAACACTTTGTGTGTTTGAGAAGCTATTTTAAAGTTAATTTACGTATTACTTAAATTTGAAATTCTTTAATTCTTTGCCTTAAAATTCTGAGGTCCAGGAAATTTTTTTAAAGGTGTGTTCAGTAACTTGGAACCTACGATGGGGAAGAAGCAGCTTTGAACTTGGAAACCAATGTAAGATACAATCTTACTTGATCAAAATACTAGTGTAGTGTCAACACTGCTTTGAAAAAGAAATATGATTTAACTTTTTTGGAGGTGCTCGTATCTCTCAATGTTGACATCTTTTCAGAATATTCACAGTGAATGACTCCAGGATGGTAAGCATAACTTACCAAGAGCCACTAGTGTTTATCTTCATGTGTAATTTTGGAAAGGTAACTTACTATTTCTAGCAGACTTAAAAACAGTTGGCTTTAGTAGATGATACATGTTTGTTTTCCTTCCTCTGTAGTTTGGAGGTAACCCATTTGCTTCGTTAGTAAGCAATGCATCAACAGGTGGGGACAGTCAGCCATCTCGTACAGAAAATAGAGATCCTCTACCAAATCCCTGGGCTCCTCAGTCCAGCTCGCAGACTTCCACGACAAGTACAAGCACCAGTGATGAAAGCCATGGCAGTAGTAGTGCTGGACATAGCACCTCTGGAAGTACAGGGCAGAGCTCAACTGTACCAAACTTGGGACCTGGACTAGGAGGTGTGTATGTTATTGCAATTGTATATATTTGTGCATACTTGGGGGTTTGCCGAAATGTTTATTTCATTAGAGAATTTGAGTTAAAGTTTTTATTGCTATTTGCTTTCATAGAACATTTGACAAGTAGCAAAGTCCTCTGTAGAAAAACAAACATGAAAAGTAAACTGAGTGATAATAGTACTTGTGTATTGCCTTAAAGGTAGGGAATCTCTAGATGAAAGATGGTATTTTTCCTGTTTGGCGGCAAATGTGAAAACAGCTAATAATGTGTATAATACTTAGTGGGACTGCTTGTTGGATGCAGCCTCTGCCTTAAATTTTGGGGTAGATGCGTCTGTGTAAGCAGAACCTCATTGAGGTGTATTTCAGGGACTAAAACTTTCAGGAACCAAGTGGTTATATCCTAGTTTTTGATAGACTAATTTGTCTGATGATAGTCAGGATTTTTACTAAAGTGACCTTTTACTTTTTTTAAGCTGGTATGTTCAACACACCAGGAATGCAGAGCTTATTACAGCAGATAACAGAAAACCCACAACTTATGCAGAATATGTTGTCTGCACCCTATATGAGAAGCATGATGCAGTCATTAAGCCAGAATCCTGATCTTGCAGCACAGGTAAATGCGTTTGGTGTAGTAATGTATTGTGTGCATTGAAGTAAAGAGTTGAATCTGTGATACAGTTAAATTTTCACTTGTGCCAACATGTCAATTGTCTGTAGTGAATGACACAGTTTTTCATGTTGATGCCTAACTCCCTGAAATTACTACCTACTTACATTTAACAATTTGTTGCCATGAGCTTCCTTAATTTGTAGTTGGATGTCATGCCAGGCATGCTTCTAAAATAGCTTTTAAGTTTCTGTATGTTTTGTACAGCCCTAAACTTGTGACCCAGCATGAGAACGAGTTAGGCAAAGCAGATGCTTTGGTTGTCCTGGTTTCAGCTGGGATAGTTATTTTCTTCCTGATAGCTGGTATAGTGCTGTGTTCTGGATTTGGACTGAAAATAATGTTGATAAGATACTGGTGGCTTTAGTTGTTGCTAAGCAGTCAAGGGCTGCTCAGCTTCTCATGCTGGCCTGCCAGCAAGAAGCCAGGGGGTAGACAGGAAGCTGAGGTGGGGCAGACAGCCAGGACAGCTGACCCAGGCTGGCCAAAGGGGTCTTCCATACCATATGATGCTATGCTTAGTATACAAACTGGGGGAGTTGGCCCGGAAGGTGCTGTGGCTTGGGAACTAACTGGGCATCAGTCAGCAGGTGGTGAGCAATTGTGCTGTGCATCACTTGGTTTTTTTATATTCTTTTATTATTATTCCTTTTTTTTCTGTCCTATTAAACTGTCTTTATCTCAACCCACAAGTTTTACCTGTTTTTTTTTATTCTTTACCCCATCCACTCATCCTTTGGAGGTGAGCAGATGGCTGTGTGGTTATTTTAGCTACCTGCTGGGTTAAACCACAACAGTTGTAAATTAAGGTAGAACTCCAAGTAAATAAATACCTCCATTAGCTTGGGAGGAGAGAAGGCAGGGGATTTGGTGCCATATCTAGGCATTATTCTGGCTTTAACTTCTCTTTGTGACCCATGCTCACTGTAAAAGTGCAGATGCTGCTTTATGAATGGTATTGTAGAACTGCTTTCAGATGTTGTTTAAAGCAGTAATATCCAAATCCTGAACTGAGATTAAAAAAGTTGTCTTTTCTATATTAAATGCTTACTTGGAAAATATCCCTGATTTCAGGTGATGTTTACAGGGAAACTGTCACTTAAATCTGCAGTGGAGGTTGAGCAGAAAAGGGTTTTCTTGTAATATAAATGAGGTTATCTTGGCAAGTATCTGGCAATTCATTCAGTTAAAAGATTAAAAAAAAGACAAAACCAAAACAACAACAAAACAAAAAAAAAACCCAACTAAACAAAAAAGCCCTGCAATATGTTCAGGCTGGTTGTTCCTAACTTTTGGCCAAAGGAGGAGGAGATGATTGTTATTCTGTGAGGGTATTTACTTAGTCTATTACCATGTAAGTGGTTGTCTTTAAAACCCCCTGTGGTTTTTACTGCTTGATCTTTGAAGTTAAATATTTTTGTCCTATAGATGATGTTGAATAATCCTTTATTTGCTGGAAATCCTCAACTTCAGGAACAAATAAGACAACAACTTCCTACTTACCTTCAGCAAGTAAGATGAGATACTAGCTGTTAATAAATGTCTGCAAGTCAATGAGCAATATTTTCAATAAACTGGTGTCTTTGATTTGGCTAAAAGCTAGATTCTGTAATATATTCTCATTAGCTTTAGAAGCAAGTTAGGTTGTCCCTTGCTAATTCTTGCTTAACTTTTGAAAGGGATGGAGACATTAAACCT